CCGGATATATTTAAACTCTGGTTTAGCTTTCATATTGATTAATTTATTTTGATTGATCACTAATAAAATAGTGTTTTAAGTAAAACTGAAAAACTACATTAAGTGGTAGCTCAGCTAGTCATTCTGCAGTGTAAAACATGTTCTCATTGTTTAGTTCATTCGACATAATAAAAGAAACTATGATCTGAAATTACGTTACCGACAACTTTGTTTTTGTATCAAATAAGATTACTTTGTTTTACTTTTTTTTTTTATTGAAAATTAAACTTCCGGTCAAAGTTTAAGATAACTTCTACTAGTGACCGTCTAATTGAAACTTAATCCATTTGAATTAGTACATAAACTCGGACTTAGTACCAGTTTTAAATAATTAACAACTTCAGTTGAAACACATTACCACCCTCCGCTCCAATTCTTTGCATCAACACACATGAACAAGATTTAATCTGGCACAAAAAACACATACTTAATCTCTGCATTCTATTGCCATATCTAGTACTGATCACCCAAATGACCCAAAATGACAAGATAAGATTTCATTACAGTGACGTTAGAGCAGAAAAATATCAACACTTAAGTCTCTTGTTTCCTGTGGAAAGTACCGGAAAAAACTTCAACAGTTTTCTCTTCGCAGAGCTCATTAACTTCTGAGATTCAAAGTATTCCATGACGATTCGATCATAGCAGCAGACAGGACAGTGAAAGTTCCCGTCTTCGTCGACGTCAACTGGACAACCCAAACATTCCTTGTGAACTTTTGCTGCACACTCGCTCCTGCTACATATCAATAATGTTCCTTCTTTCTCGCATTTCCAACATACATTCTCTGGTCTCGTTTGGGAGCTCGAATGAAGAAGGTTCGTGTAAGTGTTTGTATTCACCCTGGCCAAGACTGGACCTTTTACCATATGGTCCATATCTGACTCATCATCATCGCTCCCACTGATTAACCAGGTTCCATCTTTTGCACATTTTGCACGCGCATCCTCTGGCCATGGACAACTTCTTGCGCTTGGAGAAAAGGTCTCACCGGCAGTATTACCGTTTTTAATGGGTTCACTGGTTGTCTCAGTATCGTCATCGATCATAATTACTTCATCTTTCTCATTCGTGTGCATTGGCTCATCTTCATCACCGGTGACAACTACTTTATCTTCCTCATTTATGTTTTGTTCCGAACCAATATGCACTTGTTCCTCATCTATCGGCTCCTCCTCGCATGTATCCATGTGCACTGATCTATCATCTCTACAGACAAGATCATTTGCTTCCATGGAAGGAGCTGCACTTGTCTGATTCCCCATTAAACTCACATCTCGAAGCTAAACAATCCAAACAAAAAAAGAATTGTGTAATCGCTGTTTCAATCACTTGATTATACATCCTTCTAAAGAAAAGCATGAAACAGAGGAAAGGAAAGCACACTGTGGCAAACACATGTTCTTGTGAGCAATAAATGGAAGAACATTGAATTTGGATAGCTCTGGCATACCCGATCGTAGTTCTGATACAGGAATCTAACATTTGAGAACAAAAGACTACAATTAGAAACCCATACATCCTAATCTTACTGCTCCTAGTAAAGCTAATTAACATATACCTCTTTCAGAATTGCTCTGAGAACATCAGTGTTGCTCGAGGATAAATCAAACTCAACTCTTGCCTCTGAAGTAGAAGCAACTGTAGCATCAATCTTGCTTGGATCAAACATAAACTCCAAGACTTTAAGAGCCAGGACTTCATTAATCCTAAACCCATAGTCATTTGAGTATTGATAGCCCATGTTCATCAAATCTGAAACCAATTAGAGATTTTCTGTTAAACACCTGCTCTTAACATACACAAAAACCATAGGAGGAGTTTCGAATCGAGTTACCGAGGACGCAACGTATATCCTTAACGAATTTGGCTACATATTCAATACACCATAACCATTCAGCTATTTGCGGTGGTCGAGATGAATATTCATCCATCAATTCCTCAAGGCTCAAATCAGAAGCTCCAGAGCAACCAATGTCATCCATCAAAAGCTGCGTTTCGGAGAGTATAGAAAACCCTAAAAATTTATTTCTCCTTGAAACCTTCAAATTCCAAGTTCCAATATCACAAATCGATCACTCGTCCTACACAAAAGCCTAGTGCTAAAAATAATTTAATCAAAAACTAGCAATTCCGTAAACTAAATTCAACACCATTGATACGAGAACGAAATCAGAAAGAGAAATTGTAAATAAGCGAATCATCAATGAGGAAGACGAATTTCAGGAACCATACCAGCGGTTCGCGAGCGAAGTTTCAGATTTAGAGCAGAAAAAACCAAAACCCAGAAGCAAAGAGACGCTTTAGCGATGAAGATTCATTGATTCGCAAATCTCATGCCTCGAATTTCAAACATTCTTCTGATAAACTTCGAAGTCGACCGTCTTCTTTTCCGATCACACCATTGTCGAGTCGTGTAGGCAAAGCCCGCGCGGATTTGTTCTTGGTCTCTTTTCAAAAGACTTCATACTAATTAGAGTTTGACATCTCTTATATATTAGACAATTCTTGTCTAAACTTTCTATAACGGGACTTAGATTGATATCCCAACAAATCGATTAACTGAAGACGAAAAGACTTCACTGTAAATTGGGCCGTATTATTATTTTTCTGATCGACACCGTTGAAATTCAGAATCAAATCCCAAC